TAAACAGTTATGGCAAGTCGTAGTTGGTATTAAGAATAGAGACAGGATAGACGAGGCGGCGAGTGGAGCTAGTTGGCTGACAGTAGGTTTTACAAGAGACGTGGTCCATGTAGAATAGACATGACTATGAGACTTACTCAGAGGCTTTAGCTTCGAATTAGTCACCCAGGTGCAGGGGATAGACGAATTACGCCTCGAATAGCACAGATGGGGGGACGGGGGTCGAGTAAAATACATGTACCAGGGAAATAGCAGACTGATTCGACGGGGCAAGACGGAAACTTTGATAGGACACAGGGAAGGATGACGTAACAATATGACAGACTCTGGTCAACATTCCAAACACAAGGATGAAGGGGGTGATAACAACAGTGTCGAGTGTAAAGGGTTTTCATGAATGCCACACAACATAACATTAAGAATAAGCACGGAAAAAATTTTTGACAGGCATGATGGGAGGATATAGGAAATGTGAATAGGCCAGGGCAGAAGGGGAGATACCATCACTGTTTAGCACACGTTTGGTCAAAGAATGGACTTCACTTGTCCCTTTGACGAATTGTAATATGGTGCTACGAATGGCGAGACTCACTGACGATGCCGGCGAAACGTCTGGGAATGTACCACGTCCACGGCCCTACTCTGGAAATTATAATGCATATAACAGACTCCAGGAATAGGTGCGTTCCTATAAGTCTTCCTACCAATATGACCGAGTTGCGAAAACAAGGTCAAAAAACTTTTATCTGTGTACAGTTTATTTCATTACACAGATTGTATCCTATTTTTAAGGGACCAATAAGAACAAGTGACCCATAGACCACTTTTAGAGGCTGCAACTCACACATCGCAAACAACACTGGCGCGGTCAGTGTCAAAACATTGAGTTTAATCTCAACTTCTGGCAACGCAATAATGGCGATCATAAGCCCGACCACAAGATGGGATCGAACCCCATCATTTGAGAGTAATTGAGATAATAAGCGATGTAAGGTGTGCACGAGCTCCACAGCACAACTCTGTGGAGCTTATTCCGCACTACATCTAGACTTGCGTATTAAAATGTCAATCCCTTTGCATGTTGAGTCTTCTAGAATATAAATTATGCTTGAGCGGGTTGTCGCTTGTATAGACACAAAACTTCCGTACAACGATAAAAATAATCAATAAAAATTCATCCTGCCTGTACACTAGGCTAGGACCTGGTGATCAAGGTTTTGTTGGCCTTTATCTCTTATATGCTAACTGGAATTCGCCCGTTACTCGGCTATTATTTGATGTGAAACCATCCGCAATCAATACCGAGTTATAATTTGGACATATTCGTGTATTGATGTATTCTAGTTGATAAAACGATGGCAAACGACGATGCATGAAGATTCTATTATAATTACACTGTTTTAATCACCAAATGACGCACTGTGCAATAGCATGATGGAAAGTGAATGTGCTGCGAAAATAGTAATTGACAATTACACGCGAAACATCATTTCAAGGCGCAAAATGTGCAACCCAAACGAGCATAGTGGTCACCAAAAGATTGTATGAACTCGACATAGGCAGAAAAAACTGACTAGACTAAAAACCGTTCCAAATTCAGTAGTAGCGAAAAGTAAGGTCCGCATCAACTCGCCAAGATTATCCCTATCGAATGAAGATGAATATTCGCCTAAATGGACAGGATCAGCAATAAAAATTTAGAGGCAAAATAAACACCTAGATCTTTCCTTGCATGAAAAAAAGCAGCGGTGAATGAGCAACAATTGGGTGGAAGATGGAGATTAAAATTCCCATCGATCGACGTTCGCTAAGAATTTGATTGAAATTTCCATTTTCTTGGGCCAGTAAATTTATAAGTGTATATTTCATTACTTTAGAAGCCAGCACAAAAATTAATTTGGTGCCGGACACTGGGCAAAACAATATCCCCTAGAAACAAGACAACGATAGGTAAGCAGGAAATAGAGCGATGAGCACCTCCCGAGAACATAAATTTATGCTATCAAGGTGATGCTAAGGATGGAGATTGAATGTGCGATAAGATGTAAGCACGTTGAGTAAGTATCAAAATAAGTCGAAAAATATTAGAATCTTAAGAATTACATTCGACAAACAAACGACCGATCAGTAATGAGGCAGAATAGCAGTTTCCCCTACTTTGCTCGAGGCCTCCTTTACCCGCTGACTAACAAATGGCCAAATGCACTTACGTTGCGCCCAGAGTGCAGAAATGACCGATCACGCAGCACAGAACGGACAGGAGTGAATGACAAGCAATGGGTGGGCTGATCTAAATGATCATAAGTCCATCAACTAATAAGAGTTTGAATGTCTGTTATGATACTGTGTGCATGTTGTTAAAGACAAGAAGATGGATAAAAGAGACTTGGAAAAATGAAATTAGCGGAAATGAAATAATGCGGGAGGGAAATAAGGATATTGTTTTAAGATCGAAACAATGTGATAAACAAGAAACCAGGGCGCATGAAAGGAAGGATGAACATTTTAGTCAAACATTTCCATCTCATGAGGTCCAAGAAGACCTGGAACGTTTGCTTGGCGTTGCAGTTTCTCACGTTGAACTCGAGCGATCTCAGCTTCACGCTCTTCGAGATAGAGATTCGATAGGTCCTCGCCAGCCATCTCTCGGATTTGAACAAGGAAATCGCGAATATGTTCCCGAAATCCTGTAACATCTTGATCGAAGGAGAAAAGTCCATCAATAAAAATGCGAATCTGAGGGTCCTGAAGATGGGGAAACGCCAATTTTAAGAGGTTCTGTAGGCTGCTGTGGACGTAACGGATATTCACCTCAGAGGAAACAGCAACAAGCCTGCCGTCCTCCAGCATATATGGCTCATCAGGATTGAGAGGTACTGTGATTATTTCATTTTCGACTATTTTAAACATATATGCCAAAACGGATGATTGCTGCATTAGATCTGAGTGAAATAAGAACAGCAAATGAAATTAATACTTGAAATACTCAAGTGACATTAATTTTGTTATAGAAAAGAAAAAAGACTTTAAAATACAGCAACTTGCTTACTAGCAGTTTGGGAACGATCTGTGATTATAGCAAACATATGCTGCATAATGTCCATGAAGAAGTTCCTGAAGAAAATTTGATGCTTCTCGCCTTCAGCGTTCGACATGTTTACGAGCATTCGCTGGAGTATATTCAGACCAGTTTCAGAAACCTGTAAAATAAGATATTAACAATAAGAGAACGAAGACTATGATATGCAAAAATGAGAATAAGTCAATAGCAAAAGGAATAATGAAGCAACCATAGAAGAGGAAACAGCTCATTCATCGGAGAAGTTATTCATTAAAGTCAAAGTTTAGAGTAAATTATTCTTTTAAATACGATGAATTCTTCAGGATTAAAGCGTAAAAGATAAAGCTTGAAATAATATACTAGTGTCCGTAAAAGAGAAGATTAAAATTGCAAGTCTCTCCTACCTGACGCATTGTATGCTTCATAGCCCAAATTATACTATCCAGAATCAGCTTGAATTTGTCTGTTGCCAAACCAAGAAGAGCAGAGAAGCAGCGAGCATTTACTGCTTGTAATAAGGTGAAAAAGTTAGTTCGGTGTTCAGGAAATTCTTCAAGATCCTTATTTATCATTTCCAACGTGCATTGAAACACCGCATCGAGAATCTTTGGAAGAGAGAGAAGTGAATGTTCTTCGAGGCGATTTACAAGAGTCGCCATAGTTTGTAGGACCTCAGGTTCCCGAGCCACTGGTAGACTCCTTTGATAAACGTTGGCAACAGCGTCAAGAAGAGGAGGAACGAAATTTTCGGCAACCTGAGAAAATAAATAGGAAACAAAATAAAAACTTATATCATAAAAATATGAAGATCGAATTAATGTAATTATCTGCGCTATGCGCAAAAAAACATTAAAATTCATATAAGGTATTTGTCAGAGATGAGGTATTCACATTTGATTGCTTACACGTATGTAAATAATGATTTGAAATGAATATTTAAAAAATTCCACTCACCAAAAACGGATCTGTTGTTCTCTCTATCCAACAAGAAAGAAGATTTAGGATCGCCTTCTTCACAGCACGCATGCTGCGAATTATCGGCTGCTTGACCACCTGATCACCATTCGCTTCAATTGCCCTATTGATATTCTCCGACATGATTTTATAAATGTTCAACATATCAAGATAAATGCGACCGAGCTGAAAAAGTGCAATACACAAATTAAGCCATTCTGATATGAGTGCATTAAAATGATTTAAAACATGAGCAAATGTAGGAATTAACACAATTTAGTATAGTATAACAATAAAATCTAGGAACGCGATGCGTATAAACTACGAGGTATAATGATGAACATCAGAGACATTCAAACGACTCAATTATTTGAGATGTAACAAGAACAACGGAGCTTAAGATTATATGTTAAAAATCAATCATCGTAAGAGAACGATCTTGACAAAGGAACTTAAGCATCAGAGCCCCCCAGTTTGGCCATTGAATATAATATTGATTTCATGATAGTTTTGATTGGAGGCAGTAAAGATTAGCAGTGAACCGTCAAAAATGGTCCTGAGTAAACCGTTATACACAAAGAAAATATGGATTTCAAGCTCAACAATTTAAACATTTATAATCATAATTACAAGAGAATAATGTGATCCTAGATGGCGAAGATATGAAGACCAAGATGTGGCCTCTGGCGTGGTAGCAGTTTCCCTTCGATGTATAGGAGTGGGTTGACCTCGTTGTTGCAACTTGGTATTATTGCCAGGGGGACTTAGTAGAGCTCATCTAGTCCGAAGTCGTCTGTCATAGTAGTTGTTGTCATGATTCCCAGCATCAGACAGTGGACTTGGTACATTCTCAAGCGTTTGCCGGCATCATCAGCGAGTTTTGCCATTCCTTGCACCAAGCTACGAACTCGTCAGAGACAAGTGAAATCATTTCTCGACAAACGTTCTGCCGAAAACGGTTACACTACCACTCCTCTTTCTGTCCTGACCTATCTATCTACTCTTTATCCTCTTATCCCACTGTCGCCCTATCACAACTTCAGACTTGTTTACATTCCACTCGTCAAAATGCGTGCTCTTATATAAAAAATCTAATGTGGCCTTATCGCACTTGCTATTAACCTCGATCCCCTCTCTTCCGATCGGCTGATCCGACTCAGGCATCCAATCCGGATCCCCTCATTGTCTCGTAGATCCGTTCCTTATATTTCTGATTGATCGATTTTACTCGGTTCCAGTCCTACTGTGCATTTCACTCCAGACGCTATTTTACAAGGTCCTAGAAGCACATACACTGCTGCTTCACCGAGCAGAGCGTCTAAACTCTGATTCACATGCTTGCAGATATCAGGCTTTCCCTTTACGGATCCTTTCCTTGATTAAACCAATGTTATTTGAACAGACTGTGGACGCCTATCTCTGGTTGCATACGGCATCTCCAGTGAATTTCTAGTACATTTTGGCCACAACGCCGAATTTACGTGACGGTTTGCTTATCCGTCTGCCCAGCTCCCTGACTGCCAGGTCTCCAAAGTTTTACTGGTTTATTAGAAATGGACACGACTGACTGCCAACGTCTTCGCTTGATTGCCGAAAACCCCTTCCTCACACTTTCTTTATCGCGATCCCATTTACCCCGGTTAGCGGTAGATCCCTGATTCAGGCGACTTCTTTTTGCTAGTCTTGTTTTCCTCGAGTTTGCTTAGGCAGTAGGCAAAGTTATCACCAACTCTACCTTCCTCCAATTTCCTGTTCATAAAATTTTTCTCCCTAAGGATGTCAATGGCCTGCCTTATCTTCCACTTCCGTGTGCTGTCACCGTATGAAGCTCTTTTTTCTGTTGCCTTCCAGTTGATGTGTTTCGCTAGTTCTGATCTTTCGGTATTCATTTTCCCGCAGAGCCTCTGATATTCCTTGATTCATGTGCTAATTTTTCTCCCTGTTTCACCAATATATATATCTGTTCGCAGGCGCCGCATGATATACGGTAAACTCCTGAACAATCCAATTTATCTACCCTTTAATGTTGCGTCGGTAGACTTGTGAAGGGTTGATTTATCTTTCATGGTCACCTGAATATTAATTTACTCAAAATTGGCCGTAGTTTCTGAGTTAGTTCGCAGGAAGGTAGGCATATCCACTTTGGTGAATCCTTCATCGTCCTTATTGTTCTTTCATAGTCCCCGTTCTGCCATAGGTTTTTCACGGCCCGTATGTTTCTTTTTAC